TGAATTCGTGAAATTTGATAAACCATAGGGATCATTTTTGTATTTTGTCTTAATATAGTATAAATGATAAAAATGAAGGGAATAAGATTCCAACTTTGAACCTCCTTCCTCTCTCCCTTAATTAAGCAAAACCTTAACCAATTAGCCTAAAGTTACACTTATGTTATAATTTCGAAAACTAATTAATATTATCTACAACTTGTAAATAAATTAATAATAAAATACTAAAAAAATATTTTTACAAAAAAACTTTTTTTTATAAAATAAAATATATTTTTAGCGTATTGTAAAAAAATTACAAATAATTTATTTGTTTTTTTACGTATTTGTTTTACCTGGAATATATTTTTTATGTATTAAAAAAAAATAAGTTTTCTTATACTTTTAAATACTTAAAAAAAACGTGATAACATATTATATAAAAACGTAATCCTAAAAAAACATTAAAAAAAAATTTTTTGTATATATTTATTTAATGTGAAGTATGTTTTTTATGTATTTAAAAAATACATTTATGTATAATATGTTATTGCATTATAATCTTAAAATATACTTTTACATTATCTTAACGTCTTTAGTTGATATAAAACGAATATGCAAGTAATTTTTTCGTAAAAGCATTAATGTAATAACATATTGCACGATAACATATTTTGTATAATACTTTTTTTTTAAATAAAACGAATATATTTTTGCATATTATAAAAATAATAAATTTATACAATTAATTTATATTTTTTTATGTATTTATTTTATGTAAATATGTTTTTTTATGTATTTAAAAAAATGATTTTATATAATATGTTATTACATTGTATTGAAATGCAAAATCGGTTGAATAAGTTTTTGTATGGCCCAATCGGTTTTCTAAGAACCATTTTTCAGTTTAAAAAATACGTATTAAAAAAACATAACTTGTTTTTTTGCCAGAATTTATGAGATCTTGTTTATGTTTATAAAAATGAAAAATAAAAATAATATGTTATTTATAAGCGTTAGCTTAATGACTATATAAGTATATTTTTTTATTCTAAATTAGAAATATGTTATTATTATGCCAACGAATAATGTCCGGATTACTATTGTCAAATATATGTAAAGAAACATTTAAAAAAATGTGGTTGTTCCAAAATTAATACGATATATATTTAAAATTTTAAAATAATTCGATCGATTTTACATTCCAATACAATGTAATAACATATTATATGAAAATGTATTTTTCTAAATCTATAAAAAAAATATGTTCACATAAAAAAACATAAAAATTATTTGTATAAATTTTATTTTTTATAATACACAAATTTTATTAAAAAAAAAGTTTCACGCAAAAATATATTTTTGTATTTTTTTTATTAGTTGTACTTTAATTATTTTGTTACTATATAAATTAGTTTTAGGAAATATCCATGTGATCAGCTGAGTTGTAGTACAAAAGGTAGAGGTTTATGAGTTCAACTTCCTGTATAATCAATTTCTTGACGTTTAAAGCAAATAACAAAGATGGTAGCTTTGGTAAATGTTAATCAGTTTCTTGACTGTTTAAGGTAAATAACAAAAATGGTACTTTTGGTTTACTAAATATAACAAATTTAACCCTTTTATACTTGAAAAAGACTAAAATACCTTACAAGAGAGGAACTAACAGCAGAATTTTAAAAAAGTTAGTAAAAAAGGCTGTATGTGCAAGTTTTGCAAAACACAAGGATCATTTGCATAAAAAAAATTAATAAGTACTAAATTTGTAACTTTTAGTAAATCATAAGGATCATTTTTGTAATTTTATCTAAAAAAAAAATAAAAACAAAAAACAGCCCCAATGTTATTGATGCCTTTTAATAAGAATCCAGCTTAAATCTTTGTTTGTCAGCATCTTATTTTCGCAAATTAATAAGAAAATACACTCTTATTCGGTAACAGTAACCAAAAAAATAAACGTTTCCTAACCCTACCCTCGTCTTTTTGCAGCCATCGAAGAACACAGCCTCCACCCCATCCCTGCATCTCGGACGTCACAGAGGACCGGCGCCGGCGTCGGCGTCGCACCGCACCTCGCACACCGCCGGCGTCTCTCAGTACGTCGCACACCGCCGCCGTCGAGCATATCCGTAGCACAGCACACCTAATCTTCTGAAATCGGTAGTCTTCTTCATATGTACTTGCTGAAATCGGTTCTAAACTTACTGAAATGCTTCTAATCGGTTGTAAAAGTTGCTGAATTTTTATATTGTTGATGAAATCGGTTCTAAAACTTGCTGAAATGCTTGTAATCGGTTCTAAAACTTGCTGAATTTATGGTTATGTTGCTGAAATTATTTCTTTGGTTTGATTTTGGTGAAATGTTGCTTAAATAATTTAATTTTTTTGATGTCCTCGCTGAATTTTTTGATTTCCTAGACGTTATGTTGTGGTTCTCATTTGAAATTGGTATCTGTACTTATACAGCTACGAAGCCTTAAAATTGAAGAGAATGGACATAATATCGCAATTACAAGAACAGGTAAACACCATCGCAGCAATCGCCTTCAATACATTCGGGACATTGCAAAGAGACGCACCTCCTGTTCGTCTCTCTCCGAATTATCCGGAGCCTCCTGCACCTGCTGCCGGTGCCAGTGCCGCCACCGCCACCGCTGCACCGCCCACTGCTACTAACACTGTGGCTGCTAATCCCACTACCGAAGAATCTCCCAGTAATAATATCGCCGAACAACCTAAGCTTCTGAGCGCTGAACTTGTCAAAGCTGCTAAACAGGTGCCATAATTGTTTTCTCAAACAGCATTTTTTTATTTTTTTGTGTTAATTCAATTCACCACTTTTGCTATTGAAAGACCAAATTAAAAATAAGTGTGGGACTATGGAAAGCCTCATTTCAGTGACTTTCTTTCTATGACCTATGTTAAGTCATTCTTTTTCTTTGTGCATTAAATAAAAAAAAACACCCTGAAAGTTAAATATGATGATTTTCTCTTAATGCCATTTATTATCTGCCTGCAATTAACATATGATATGATGTGATGTGATGTGTAGTTTGATGCATTGGTAGCTGCTCTTCCCTTGTCTGAAGGAGGTGAGGAAGCTCAGCTGACAAGAATTGCACAACTCCAGGTATAAACCCCATCAATGTAATATAATCCTTTTACCAATATACACAATGCACTTTATTTTTTTACTCATAATAGCTATGTATTAACATTTCCTTACTCTAAGTAGCAACCTACTTTACATTTTTTTTCATTGATAATAGCAATATGTAACTTGAAAATAGCAAAAAACTTTTAACCTATTATAGCAATATGTATGAGATACAATACATTGCCTATATTGGTAAAGAAATGCATGTATGTTGGAAATAACAGACTTTTTTTAAAGTCGGAAGAGTTTTATGTTGCTTCAATTTGGCCAAAAGATTATAGTAAGATATTGTAAAAGTATGATTGAAGAAGAATTTATATAGATGGATACTTGTGTGTGTGTGTGTAGGCTGAAAATGACCTTGTTGGCCAAGAACTTCAAAAGCAACTTGAGGCTGCAGGTTTGTATTTTTTTTTTCTATATGTTTTACATAATTGGTTTTTTTCTTTCCTTTTGAGTCCCATGTTGATATTTTAGGGTAATTTGCAAGAAGAAATAGCATCGTATGTTTATTGATTTGTTTACAACGTTGTAGTTTGAGAAATCTACCCGGTTATATAGCAAGAAAATATGATGCATATAATAATAATTGTTTTACACTGCTATGATTGGTATAATAATGCTTCAATAAGAAAAAAGCTTGCAAGTAACATGTTTGAATGAGTAGTTTTTATGTTAAGGAAAAAAAAAGTTGCAAGTAGAATGAATATTTTATTATAATAGAATGAAATGAAAGAGCAAATAAATGGAAGCAATGTCAATGTTGGTAATATTTAATTATTTAATAATACCTAATGCTAATCTTAATGGGTTGGTTGGTTGGTTGTTGATATCAGAGAAGGAATTGAAACAAGTGCAGGAATTGTTCAATGAAGCTGCAGATAACTGTCTCAACTTAAAGAAACCCGACTGACTAAATATAATTATTATTCTTATTGCATTTTAAACTACTAGTGGTGTTGTAGTAACAGTGTCTGTACGGATGATTAATTGGTAAAAAAAGCTGTGTAATTCACTAACCTATCAATATTAGAGATGTTTAACCTGGTTTGATTTGTTAAGCTCATGGGCTTTCTGTTAGCCTTTTTTGTTTGTAACACTGCTTGTTTTATGAGCAATGAGACAAATTTTGTAATATTTTGACAAAAACTTGCTTTTCATTTCCCATTTGTGAAAAAAAAAAAAATGTATACACTTCATCCTCATCACTAAAAAAAACATCCTTAAAGAACTTGTTTGTGCAAAAGACATTAGTGCCCTATCCATCTTCTTCAACGAAATTAGCCTGAAAAAAACATGTCATTTGATTCTCATTCTGATCAATGTGAATAGTTCTACAAGGTTCACCCAACGTCATGTAAAAAAAAATTGGTCCAATGTGGCCATGTTCCATTTCAATGCAAAATAAATAAATAAATAAATAATGTCTATGGTTTTTTAATTTGGTCCGTTTGACAGGCTATTGCCCAATTTCTGCTGACTAGGCATTTTTTTTGTTTACTGTGTACACATGGACGTTTACGTGGCAAATGAGACGTATAGTTGTAAACACCGTCCAATGTTCTATTTTATCAAACAGAAGGGGCTACTGCAATATGTAAGTCGGATTAAAACTTTGCATGTAAATGTAAATTGCATCGAGTTTGAGTAAAGGTAATTAACCCATGTTCAAGGTCTCGGGATTGTCCTAGCTTGAGAATTTCAAATTCCTTATGTTTTTGGTTAATTAAAACCCATGTTATGACGATTTTGTTATAGAAGATTCAAGATCCAAGCAAGAAATGCTACCAATAGACCTTGAACATCATTCCATAGGAGCTTTATTTTGATACTAACTATGGCTGACAAGCATAAGAAGTTGAAGGTACTTTTTTGACAATTAAAGCTGTGGAATATATATGCGAAGATTAAAACTGTTGATCACCATTTCCATTGTTCAATGCCTTGCTTCAACACAAAATGTACATCAAGATTTACTTTTGTTATGAATTCCACTTCAAGCAAATAAACAATAAACCAACCCCTAATTGTTAACAAGCAAAACATACAAATAAAAGTCGACTTAAATGACAGAAGCAACTCAAGAAATTTTTTAAAATGTAGACGATTACTACAATGTTGTATTTAATGCACTTCGGTGTACTTTATCCTTCATATCCTTCCACACCATATCACTGCACCATCCAAATCATCACATCAAAATTAAACAAGGTAGGTTTGTTTTTCAAAGCATCAATTTCTCAAATAAATTTATCCAATCATGTTTTTAAAAAAAATATAAAGAAATAAATAAAAGTGGGTGATTACCTGATGATGTGGCTGTTGTTGTGGATAAGCAGCAGCATATCCAGCATAAGCTCCTCCAGCATGTCCATAATACATACTATTTGGATCTTGTGGTACTACAGGAGGAGCAGGAGCATACCCTCCATAACCCTCGTATCCATAATATCCTCCACCATTGTATTGACTTTCTTGACCCTGAAATTCAATAAATAACATCATTCAATCTTATTTATTATAAGTCCATTGTATCGACTATTGAGAATAATAAATAATAAAAACAAACCTGTTTATTTGAAGGACTACGACCCCACGAAAGTCTAACAGTCTGTCCACCTAATTGAGTTCCTTGCAGCATACGCAATGCTTCTTCAGCACAGCTTCTGCAACATATAAGACATATAAATTAATTCTTCATTTATTATACTTGTATTATTTATTCCTTATAAAAGTTTGCACAAAACACGTACCTTTCAGCAAATTGAACAAAGCCACATCGTTTTCCAGCAGGGATTTTGACATGGACTAATTGTCCATGTTGGCTGAAAACTTGCCTTAAATGTTCATCTGTAACATTCGGATCCAAACCACCAACAAATATCTGAAACCAAAGTGTTTTCAAACTCATGAGAATTTTGTTTCTATGTTGTGTGGTTTCTTTTTAAACAAATTGCTCACAGTTGTGTTATTTGGATCCTCCTCACTCTGTGATCCTTGACTAGTATTATTCTGGTATGAAGCTGCAAATAAATAAAAACTCATGTCAACTAAAGTGGTTTCCATTGATTCCAGTTTGAAAAAGAAACAACACCTTCAAGAACTTATACATAAATAATAGCCATTTGTTGTCAACTTCTTTTATCTAAGCTAATTTACATTATGCCCCTATATAATGAACCTACCTACATAGACTAAATAAACCCTGAAACTGAAGAGTTTTCTTTCTCAAATCTCTCAATTATATGACATACAGCCCCACCCCCTTCTGAAACAAAATAGAATGCATAATGCTAATGCTAATGCCAACTTTTAGCATCATGGGAAAGTGAAGCTAACAAGAACAAGATTATGATAAACATGTAATTTAGTGAATGAGAAGTCTTCACAGAAAAGGTAGCTCTAAACTTTAGAGGTGAAGGAAATGAACATTAAAACCTTAAGAATGGGAAACAGATCCGAGTAAAAAGGAAAAAAAAAATAGAGAAAGATGTAAGCAAGAAGTAAAGCGATAATTGGTGGTTGTTGAAGGAAATAGGCGAAAAAAAAAAAGATCACTTGAATGGAAGGAGGGATCAAAATTAAAAGGACTTGAAAAAAGAAAGTAATTTAACTACAGTATAATGTCGCCTTGAGGAATTGAAATAAAATGGAAAGGGCAATTTAACGGCTTGAAATTTAAAACTGACCTAAACAAGGCCACCCACTACAGGGGTAACTATTTCAGCTGAAATCATTGCCATAATCTTACATGATAGAGCCCCTTGATGCCCTGCTTTGAGATAACATGAGCTCTAATAAGTTTAATACTTCATAAAAATTTAATGCCCAAATTGCTCTAAGCACAGGAAGGAAATGACTCTGCCAGCTGGCGATTATCTTCAAGAAATTTGAACACAATACTGAATGAACTGAACTTAATAAACAAAACTGCAACGTGTGTTTTCTAAGAGCTAAGGGTCCCAACCAAACTCCAAAAGAAATAAACATACAAAATTCAAGAATCATATCACAAAGTTGTCACTAATAGTCTAATACCATGAAAATATAATCAAGATGTTGTACCTTTAGGATTCTGTTGTCCACCAGTAGTGTTTTTGTTAGCAGCTGGACCAATGCGCATAGGTCTGGTTGAGCATAAGCTTCCATTCATCTCAGTCATGGCGCGTATTTGTTCAGTTTCATCTCCAAATTTGACAAATCCATAACCTTTTGTGCGCCCTGTCATTCGATCAGTTACAACTTTTGCACTTCTTACAGATTGATAATGAGCCCTAAATGTCTCCTGTAATGTATAATCTGTAACATCGGCTGCTAAGTCCCCAACAAATATGGTGAAATCAGGTGAACCATCTGCACGTTTTTCACCAACTCCAAGAGAAGCCCAGTTCAGCCTGAAGTTTTGTTCAACATTTGGCATGAGAGTGCCATTGTATGTCTGTAGATGCCTTTCTGCAGCATCTCGGTTAACAAACTCAATGAAACCATAACCTTCAGATTGTCCACTTTGCTTGTTACGGATTACTTTGGCAGATAGGACCTGCAACCACAGACATCAATCAGGTGTGTGATTCCCTTCTAGTCATAAATACAGCAAAAGATACATGAAAAATGTACTACAGGTGCAAAGTTAGCTTCTATAGAATGTAAATTTGAAGCAATCCTTTACATTGGGGTTAGGTAAACTTTGAATTGCATGTCAATGGGCTTTTTTCAATTTAAAAACTGATATATTCTACAGTGTTTATGATGTATCATGGTTGACAAAGAGAATATTGCAAGAAAATCCTTATTAATGGTGTATTAGAAAAGTTGCGAACCAATACTGCACCAAATACACACATAACTGACAAAAATAGTCGTATTTGTAACAATGTATCAGAATTATTCCACATTCATAAACCCGTTTTGTCACCAGCACTGAAGATTTTGCTCACTGCAATATGGTATACCTCAGAAAGATAAATTGCCTTTTGATGTGTATAGGGCATATGTGAAAACTGAAAACTTTGTGATCTAAATAAACGAAAATAATCGGTCGCGGAAAACTACAACAGATGCATAAAAATTAAGAAGTAATCGGAAAAAAATCATACATACCTCGCCAGATTGGGCGAAACAGCTGACGAGGTACTGTTCTTCCATCCAATACTGAAGATCACCGATCCATAGCGTACGGATTTCATCTGCGCTAGCTGGCTGATGATTTGGACCAGCACCTGTAGGTGTTGCTGCTACAGAGTACTGAGGTAGAACGGCCGCAGCCGGTGGTGGTTGCTGGTTGTATGTATACATATGTTGCGGCTGTTGTTGATGGAACTGTTGCTGTGGAGGCGGTACTTGATGTTGATTCATCATCATCCATTGTTGTTGGTACCTAGGATCCATGACCGCCGTTGTTCCTGGTTGCATAACTAAACCCTAGACAGAGAGACGAAAGAGGTCAAAGAGAGATCGTGATTTGAGGACATAACGACGACGTAAGTAAGGTGCGAAAACCCAATTTTGCGGATTTTGCATTTTTACCCCTTTGTCTATATTTATTTTGCCATGACAAAATTGCAAAAATGGTCCCTATGGTTGACAAAATTTTGTAGTTTTGGTTCAAAACGAAATGTTGGTGCACCACTGATCCAATTTTAAATACCTTGTGTGGTTTTGGTCCCTATGGTTGTATTTTCTTGTGTTTTTGGTTCAAATTCACCTATAATGACTAATATGCCCCTAAAATAATTATATTTTGATTTCTTTTATTTATTTTCTTATTCTTACAATTAAAAGAAAAACAAAAACAAAATAAACCAACCTACCCCCTCTCCCCCTCCCTCTCTCTCTCACACATACATCTTCGGACACCATCTTCCAATTGGAACCACCACCATCATAAACAAATCAAACCTACACCACCATCAACACATCTTCTTCTACAACCATTGCTTCACCAGCAACGACTTCGTCAGAGCACCCTCTTCTGATGTAATTTTTTTTGGTGCATACATCTTCATCTCCTACGCATTCAAGACGGTAGTTGTTTGAAATCTCCATCTTCCTCGTTTCCTTCTTTGCCTGCACCGACCTCTGCCTTAGATCAATGGAGTTGTTGATGGTTGATTCCTCTCACTGCTTCAGTTATTCATGACAAACTTAAACCCATAAATTGAAGTCCCCAAATTGAAATTTCTACTAAAATCAAATCCAATTTTGTATTCCAATCTGGTTCCAAGATCCATAATCAAAGTTAGTGTTGGATTAGAGAACGAGATGAAAGAGAGCGAATGGCTTCCGATCTAACTTAAATCCAAAAAGTGAAGTCCCCAAATCGACTTTGAACAAGCCGGAACAGGTGAAGCCAAGGCGTCGACCTTGCCTTGGGCGACGACAGTAACCCCACTTCCCACTGCCTACACTAAAAATTCAACAATTATTGTCATCGCCGAATGCCTTCTTGAGGTTACAGAAATTGAAAAGCTTATGGATGGTGTTCTTCATCCAGACCTCGTTTCTTATTTTTCTCCCGTGTCATACAAACATCTCTTTTATTTTTCTTACCAACCATACATAATCAAACAACTCACTGGATGAAATCTTTTTCATATCTTCATCTCAAACCAAAATTATACAGAGAGATATAGTGATGATGTATTTAACACCAATTTCTTGTGATCTGAAAAAATAAAGAGGAACATCAAGATGAACAGATACCAAAAAAAACTTTAATTCCAAAAATCGTATTCAAATCTAACCCAAAATTAAAACCCACATCTTAGAAAAATGGACCACCAGAAAAACAATCCAATTTTTGTTTCCAAATTTGGTTTCTTGAATTAGGAACAATAGAAAACAGGGAGGTGGTGGTGGAGTTGAACTAAAGAGGGGGAGAGGTGGTCGGGGGCAGAGAGAGAGAGAGAGAGAGAGAGAGAGAGAGAGATGATGGGTATTTTTTAGTTTTAATTAACTAAAAATATCAAACATAAATAATAAAATAATAGAAAAAACAAATCTAAGGGGTATAATGGTCTTTTTAAGTTGATAGGGACCAAAACCAATAAAAAGATCCAATTTTGGACCAATGGTGCACCAACATTTCGTTTTGGATCAAAAGCACATAAATTCGACAAACACAGGGACTATTTTTGCAATTTTGTCTTTTGCCATCCTCCGTCTTCTCCAGTTATATGACTAATTTGCCCTTGTGTGTTATCTTGTTATTATTTACTTATTATCTAGAGTAAATTACACGAATGGTCCCTATGGTTTAGGGTAATTTGCGCGTTTGGTCCCTAACTTATTTTGTTAACTCGGAAGGTCCCTACTGTTTGTTTTTGTTACGCGTTTGGTCCCTGTCTTACATAAAAAATCTATTTTCCCTTTATTATTTAATTTATTTAAATAAACACACCCCTAATCTTACCCTTATCACCTTACCTTACGTACCTCATCATTTTTTCCTATTTAAATAATAGTCTTTTTAGGTATGACAAGGACCAAGCGTGTAACAAAAATAAACAATAGGGACCAAACACGTAATAAAAACAATCAGTAGGGACCTTCCGAGTTAAAAAAATAAGTTAGGGACCAAACGCGCAAATTACCTCAAACCATAGGGACCATTCATGTAATTTACTCTATTATCTAATAACCGGTAAAAAACTCTTCCAGTCGGTTTTTCATAGTAAAACTATCACCCGAATACTCTATGGTTAATTTTTGTTAAATAATCACTCCTCCTAAAAAGTTAATCTAACACTATGTTGCTACTTGGTTTTTTTTTTCTGTAAACAACAAACTAACTAATCTAGTCTTAAATAACCACCTACGTCTCTACAAGACTTGAACTCATGACCTCTTATATGAAAGGGTCACTCCTTACCCTAGGACATTGGCCATTTGGTTGTTATGTGGTTCCTTGGATGCATGTATGGCTACCTATCTGTGGGCTTCTTCCAATGAGCAATCACGAAAACATGCGACATGATGTTGAAAAATCTAGTTTAGAAAGTCATATTAAGGGTGGACCCTCGGTATTGTTCATCGATATCTAAGCTAGAAGTCATATTTAGGGCATGGATATTGGATATGATAGAATTGTGAAGAGTTTGCTTACCTTCTTTGGATTAGGCAGAACATTTATTTATAGTTGGGGCTTGGACTAGTCAATGGTCTCTTCTTATGGGTTTTACGTTGGTCCTTAGGTTGTAAGGGTAAGAATTTTTATATTAAAATAGTTTTGTTTTTTTCTGTGTTTCCTGGGGATGCTTCATAGGGTGTGTACGGGAGTAGGGTGATGCCTTCCATACATGTTTGGTATCTGTAAGACTGTACGTCCAAGAAATACCGAGAAAAAATTTCATTTTTAAAAAAATAAGTTAAAGCCATTCATTCATTGTTCCAAAAGATTATCAGAGTCAAAGTATTCTCAAAACATTAGAGTAATTTGTAAACATTCAGTGCAGAATAAAACTTCAGGGGATGCAGTGCGATCAATTCGAGACCCTTCCTTTTGAAAACTAAGTATATGAAACCATAAATATAAACCGTAAGCACAAAGCTTAGTGAGTTTCCCCAAAATGCCGAATACAATACACATATACATATAACATCACGTGGTTGTGTCAGGTCCGTATTAACCCCATATGACATCATGTAGTTGTGTTGGGTCCATATCAACCCATATGACAACAAGTAGTTGTGTCGGGTCCGTATCAACCTCGAGTCCATAATGACTCTATATAACAACACATACCTATGTCGGAACCGTATCAACCCCATATACATAAAACATACAGTCATATCAGCAAGAGTCACAAAGACGACATGGACATACAAGCATATCAGTAAGTGTCACAAAGACCGCTACTATCCTACAACATAATCCAGTGGGTCGGTATTGGTGCTTTCGACCCACAAGCACAATGAGGAGACTCACCTTAATCCGAGATCAACCAAAACATACACGCGTTGATGCTATCAGGTTCCTCACACTGAACACATCCAAATTGTCCTTAATTAATATTTAGGACAATTTCCCATAACTCAAGGTCGAATTCATATATCCTCATAACAATTGGTAAAAGACTATTTTACCCTTCTTATACTTGGCCCAACAAAGAAAGACCCAATAATAGACCAAAAGCTATTCAGGTGTGTACGCCCAATGTACCACCCTGGTACGCCCAATGTATGACACTGAAGCCCAAAATCATCTCCAAACCTATTAATGCCTTAAGACAACATGCATAACTTCCAGATCTGATTCTTATGGGACGTCCCAAGTCATAAAGTCCCTGACTGTATGACTTTGCATGGCTTAATGGCGCCCAAACCAAAGCCCTGAATCTCTAACTTCAACAAAAGACCACTAAATCATGCATGGAAGGATAGAAGGACCAAGATCACATTTTTATGGTTCCTAATAACTTTATAATGGATAAAGTTTCCAACTTTATCCATTAGAATGGTCCAAACAACCAAAATATAGACTTCCAGTCTCAAAGGGACCAAAAGTGCATGTTTTTCAGCTTAATACATTATGTCCAAGTCTCCAACCTTCAGATCTGAATCAATATGATGTTTAGATGGATAAAGTATCCAATTTTATCCATAACAATGTCACAAACTTTCAAGATTTAAAATTTATGCATTAAAGTGACCAAAAGCTCATAATACCCAAGAGTAGTTAGATCTATCAAATGCATCATCAAGATTCAAACTTTATACTTGTAGAAGCGAGATCAATGTGAACAAAGTCTGGATCTACAAGCTACAATGCAATCAAAACATCTCCAATGAGCTCCTTATTCTCCAAGATGCACCAAGAACACTCCAAAAGTACTTAAAACACCTTCTTTTTTCTCACAAGGCTCAAACTAGGGTTAGGGTTTCAATGGAGGGTGTTGGAGAGGTCAAGGCTGAAAATGGAATCGGTTTGGGGAAGTTAAGGAGCTTAAACCATGAAAATAAGGTTTGGGCACTAATCGTGTATGCCCATCGTACTCCAGGTACGCCCAACATACTCCATGAATTCCTAGTATGACCAGCGTACTCCAGGTATGCCTAGTACGCCCAACGTACTCCAGGTATGCCTAGCTTACTCGACTAAGCCCCAAAACCTTCCTAACTTCAAACGGTCATAACTTCTTCGTTCCAACTCCGTTTTCGACGATCTTTATATCAATGGAAAGGTATTGAAAAGCTCTACAACCCTATCTAATTACTTTTAAATCAAAGCACACCGAACTAAAATCCTTAATTCATACCAAACTCATGCATCACATAATCTATGTTACCCACATCTAAATGGGTCTAAACCCTATTACCTTGAAGCCCAAGGTCTTTACTTGATCCATTTATTGTCCACAATCCCGAAATAAGAAACTTATCGAAACAAGATGTTACAAATATTCCCCAATTAA